GGTGGACGAACTTCAGCTGACGGCGCCGGAGGCCGCGGTGGGCGAGGGCCTCGTGCGCGGCGTCGAACCCCCCGCTCGCGCGGAGGTGCTCCATCGCCCACCGCGCGACCGTGGTGGAGGAGCCAGCAGCGGTCCCCTCGCCATCCATCGGCACCCCCGCCGGTTTGTTCACGACGAGGAGCTGGGAGTTGTGGTAGAGGATGTCGAAGACAGGGGGCTGAACGGGCGCCCCATCGACCACCCCCAGAGGAGACATCTGCATTTCAATGGGATAAACCTCACGTAGGAAAAAGAATGACGAGAGAGAGAGTAAAAGCGAGAAGGAAAAAAATAGAAAAGGGCGATGGAGCGCGTTCGGCACAAGACGACATGACAACTAGCACAGAAAGAGCCCTCTACCAGACATTAACCTTCAGGAAAAGAAAACATCCATACAGTACACGAGAACCAAACGAATCGAGAGCCTCGCACTCTATCTGCAGAAGTAACCGTTTCCTACCCTTCGAACCGATAGTAAAGAAGAAAAATAAATCTCATGTGAATCATTCGTTAAATAACACTATTTCACGAGACTAGCCACAAGATCCTACGTAAAACTATAAAAGATAAAGGGATACTAACACTATAATCATTGCGGAGGACGCATCCTCAGAACATCACTCCACAATCCTCTGAAATAATCGACAAGATACATAACACGTGCACACGCATTTGGAATACAATTAAAAATAGAATTACAGTAAACTAAAGTGGAAGAAATATTGAGTTGAAGAACACAATCTCTCTCTCGCCCCTCCTCTTCCTAGAAAAAATTTTAAAAAGGTCTCTTGATTCTTTCCGTTAATGTCCTGAAAAAAAAATTGTCTATTTGAAAATAATAGCAACCTTTATTGACTTTGATAATCTCCTCTTCTCGATATACTCAACAAATGCTTTGACAAATTTCTTGCGCGAAACTCACATTTTTTATCAACTTTTTCTCCGTTGCTTACAGATTCACCCAAATCTTCGATATGAAGCAAACGCGTGTTTCATTTTATGAAATTCCTTTCTCGCACCTCTAACCCCTTTATGGATTTTGAAAATTTGTCTTTATCAGGCTTCCCGACGTCAACACCCTCAAGCAGCTTGTTTAATAGGTTGGCAAGACGACGTCCAGCCAGCGTTAGGCGCGCCTCTGCCACCTGCCGACAGCGCCCCAAATACACGTCTGATATCTCTGCACCTTCCTCAATTCCTTCGTAGGTTGTATTGATCCCAAACATGTGGCTCTCTTGTGCAAAAGCTTTGATGCTAGTTTCTTTCAGGAGCGCAGAATCGAATTTATAGGTGTCTTCTAGGTAATCAGCAAAGGCTTTTAGCGTGGTGTAGTCCGTGTCCGACAGCGGCCGATGAATTATTTTGTCGTTCGGAACGCAAACATCATCCCACAAAGAGTGAAGATTCAACCGTTTACCGTTTTCGTATACGAAAAATGTGTTCCCACCCGCGTCACCGTCCGGGTGATTCTTGGTATACCGCGTTGTGGCATGCAAAGGTTGGTGGATATCCCCAATAAAGTGAACGAGGCTAACCAAGGCAAATTGATGAACGTATGCAGGGCTCTTCTCCAGACGTAGAGCATCCATCATCGACTCAGAAGCAGTGATCACGTTCATCCCCATCACCTCACATTTGTTGACTGGTACATTATCTGGAGAAAAAGGCAGATCGATATAATGCCAGCTTTTCATGGCGAACATATGCCACGATTTAAGGTCATCAGGCCAGCAGGAAGCCTGCACAAAGTCTATAGATTTGGGAAAAGGGCCGCTTTTGGAAAAGCTTTGGGCATTTTCTTCCACCTTGCGTCGATTCTCCTCGGTGAGATGTCGGCGCGCAATCTCTGCAACTAGCATATGTCCCCTACAGTTCCAGCATAAGGTTTCCCTGATCATCAGAGCAAAAAAAAATAATAGGCATAAAAAATAAACCTTAAAAGGCCACATTTTGATTGAAAAATCCTTTAAAGTCTCTTTGAACACAGACACGCACACCCACTCGCACACAGAGATTCACTTGGTAGAAGAATAAGAAGTTTTCCTTTGAGTATGAACTATATTTTGAACGAAATGAAAAGATAGTGGATTATGATATCATTATTATTGAATAATTTATATTTGCAGATGAAAGAAAGTGAGGAGAAGAGGGGACTCTCATAGAATAGCATCCCAGGACACCGTAGTTTATCTCATCCTTTCTGCAGAGAACATGTAGTCAGACATTTTCTTCATTTTGTGAATATGAGAGTCAATTTGTACGCAGGAATAGAAATATAAAAATATATAAAATTGAACACTAGAATAGAATCGCTTTAACGGCAATCATTCAATCTACATAGTATAGCAGCAGTAGGGTACACTTTGTCAAATACATATTAAACTGCATTATTTTACTTCTTAATCTAAAACAAACAGAAATGAAGCCTTACATAAATCAAGGTTATTTACCATGATGAGCACACTGTACAATAGGATAAGATAAAACGAGTAGAGTAGTGATTTTGAATCCAAATGGTTCGGCTATAACTAGTCCGGAAATAAAGTAATAAAGATTGAAGTGTGAAAAAAATAACGAGAAATTGAAAGATGCATAGGAAAATTTAACTCTTTATTACTCCTTTCAGCTAGATAATAAAAAATGCATTCACATACCTTTACTGTATATTTATCAAAAAGGTAAAGACTCACAATTGGTAAGGCTGAACATTAAATTGTACGATGAAATACATTGTATTTCGCATGTAAAGACTGGAATACAAAAACACAAAGACACTATTAGTTTGCATATCTAAAATATTGATACATCCGAAGCATTAGAGGAAAATTATTTCTTACACATTCATTTGTCCTGAATTATTTGCTATATTAAGGAAATTCCTCATAAAGTTGTGTACACTTTGCCGCTGTTTTTCTCTCAACAGTTTGCCCTCTTACCCCACACCAAAAAAACGTTTGTAGAACACATCAGATCTCAACGTCCTAATATACACATAAATATTTCCCTGAAGGAGAGGCGCATTTCTTTAAACACGTTTGTTACGTTCATCGATATTATCACAAGTATTTTTCCCTTTTTTTTTGATGAGTAACAACATGCTTCGACTTCAAAAAAAAAAGTTATCCTCCCACTATCGTACCACAACCTATGTGATCAAAATAAACAGACCAAAGCCATTAACCCTCCCTCCTGACCAAAATGAAATCGAAAATAATTTACCCTTGTTATGCACGCTTAGTGATACCAAACGCCGTAGCTGGCACAAAGTTGTTATCATACACCAAGTTCATCTGCTGAAAGAGCATCCATATATGCGTAATACGGAAAATATCCAATGACAACTCCGGGCAAAGAAATCGCAGTTCACCCTTCGTCATGTAAAGCGCACCCTTCGAATTCAGCGCGGGCAGGTGAATGCCTTTGAGGATCTTCTGGGCCTTCCTCGCGTCGCCCTCGCACTGCTCCAGCACCTCCAGAGTGCGCTTCGTGAACGCGATCAGCTTGTTCTTCAGTGTAAGGTAGTCCATCGGGAAAATGAAGTGCGTCTCACAGAGGTTTGACTCGAAGTAGGAGAGCTGTTCGAAGCCTTTCTCGCCCGTGATGTTGAGTTTCGATCCCCAGAAGGGGTCGACACCCACAAGGTGGGCGAGACCGACTACCCATGCCTCGTAGTCGGGGAGGTTGCTCGCAACGATATCTACCGTCCGCGCGCCACCCTTCAGCTCGAGCGTGAAGCTGTAAAAAAAGGAAGGATGGGAGGGAGGGATCGGGTGACGTTGGAAGACTTTACTGAAAAAGCCAAGCTGAATGGAAGAGACCTCGTTGAGAGAAATGGTGGAGGGGCTACTCTGGGCGCCGAGCTGGGGATCTGTCCAGAGAAGGTCCTTTTGGGTTCGCGAGGTGCAAACCCAGAAAAGACGCCGGTGCGGCCTCCCGCTACGACCGTGCTTCAGCATCACCGTCCCACTTCGCAAGAAAAGAATTAAATTCTGCACCAATGCCGGGGAATCGTAAACCTTAACCACGTACCGCCGATCATGCTCGCCTTTGCTCATTTTCTCGACAGAAGGGCTGCACAGCTTGCCGTTCGAGTTTTTGGACTCGCCTTCCGCATTTTCCTCGCTGTCGCTTTCGTCCACCAGCACGTCAAGATCCCCTGGAAGGGTAGGCTTCTTTTTGGGTGTTTGCCAATTGTTCTCCAAAAAATTGTCTGCGTGCGGCTGATGAAAGCCATTGTCAAGCGGCTTGTCGCCGCCGGAGCCGTTCGAGCGCTGGGAGTAGCTATCGCTCCTGAGATCAGAGGGGTGGCGGGCTTTTTGGTTGAAAGACAACCCCTTTAGGGGTCCGGAACGATGCTGCCGTCGACCGCGCCGCTGCAACGCCCCGATCGCCGCCATCTGCTCGTAGCCGTCGCTGGTTTCGCCGTCGACGCTGAAACTCCTAGACTCGTCGAGGTGTGAATTGAACGCTGGGCTCGCGCTGCACCCTAGCGAACCCTCGTCGACGGCATCCTGCAATTCGGCGTGATGGGCACGCGGCGTTAAGTAAAGCGGCGGGTATAGCTGCTCAGGGGTCCGCAGTTTCGTGCTTAGACCGTCGATATCTTCCCAATTCCACCCAAACCGCGCCCTCGGATTCCCCTCCGAAATGTCCACCGCGCGGTCCACGACAAATTGGAGGATATCATGCAACAGCGTACTCTCCGTTACAAGCGTTGAGCTCATGAGCTTCTGCCAGCGCACCGAACGCCGTTCGCGATATGTTGCGAACAAGCGCTGAACGTAGTGCGAACGAAGCTTGTTGAGCTCCAAGCTTCGGTTGTAGTAAAACGTGATTAGCTTGTGCATGACGTCCTCCATCTCGAGGTTTTTCCCCGGGCGATCCGTTGGAGGGACGTTGCTCGTCTCCGCATCGGTATTGGTTTCCGTATCCATTTCAAAGATCATTGACGTTAGGGATTTTTCGTTCGCGCGCTCCTCGTCCACCTTAGCGAGAAGTCCGGTCATATGATCCTCCAGCTTCAGGCGAAGCTTCTTTGCTCGTTTAGCTTGATGGATCAGATCATTCTCCGCCGCCTGATGCTCCTCTGCCATACGTTTGAGTGCCTTCTTTGCTTTCTTGCCAACGTGCAAGAGCTGCTCGTACTCCTCAATCTGAGAGTTCATCGTGAGAATGAATTGCTCTAGCTCGGCATCGCGCTCTGCTTCGACCTGCGCCTTAGCCGCTTCTAATCGTTCCTTCTCTTTCCGTTCATGAAGGTCATGGGCGCCAGCGCGTAGCTCGTTCATAACGCGCTTTCGTTCTTCTTCTACACTGACCCCTTTGGCTATGGCGAGGCCGCGCAGGTTGAGTGGTTTAAAGTATAAGCTCGCAGCTAAAATGCGCATCTCCGCCGTCAACTCCTCATTCTGCTGAAGCGAACGCAGGAAGCTCTCCTCCTCCTCAGGGTTGCCGAAACAAAGGGACTGTGTAAGCTTGAGCGATTTCACGCGATCACAAAACCGCACTGTGCTGAGAGACTCCGGTGCGCTACTAGAGGGTGGTGAAACCTGTCCAATCAGTAGCATCCGCGATGTGTTATCGGTAAAAGATGCCTTCAGGAGCTTTGTTAGCTTAGACTCCCGAAAAGGGACGTAAGGGCTCGACATGTACATCGCATTGACGACCTTACCTAAGGTAGAGAGTGACTTGTTGATGGACTCCGCCTCCAGCATGTTTTGCCCTTGCACACCAGACCTCTTCACACGTTCGCTTCCCGCCAAATCCACTAAAGCAATCCGAGAGCGAACCAACCCCGGAAATGAAAGGTTCGCCACGGGGAAACTAGCCTCGTCAATCAGGTTACTGAGCTCAGGTAGCGCGGTACCCCCGCCACCATCCTCTAGGTTTGGAATCTGAAAGAGGTTGATGAAAAAGATCGCGTGGCTGCGTGAACTGGAAGCATTCATCCTCGTCGACGCAGTCGATCGAAATGAGTTGGCAATCTCAAAGTACTTCACGACCTCCGTTAAGTCGTGCACTTCCACAGTGGTAAGTCCTGCAGGGTACATATCCTCTGGGGTTTCGCGGAGAGTTAACTTTTTCCGACTCGCTAACAAGTCCATTACATCCTCAACATAAAGCTCCAACGCGGAAAGTGTAATTATAACGTGCATTCTCTTCTTTACCGCGGCCTTATACTGAAACAAATCATTAAAAGTTCGTAATAACACACCGGATTGCTCACTAACCGTGCCGTTGGGTCCGAGATTACCTAAAATGGTGTAAGTCTTTCCAGAGCCTGTCTGTCCATATGCAAAAATGGTTGAATTGAAGCCGGAAAGGGCATGATCTACTAGATCCCGAGCACTATCCTCGTACACAGAGCGCTGATCATCATTTACGTCAAAAACGTAATCGAGTCGAAAAGCAAGAGAACCAACTGTAGTGACAGAGCTCTCATCCTGTTGAACTATCAAAGTTTGATTATCATCCGCTTTGTGAACACAGACGGGCTCGTAGCGTTCATTATCGAGGAGAGGACGAATCCGGAGCGCAACAAAAATACGTCGCGTGTCCATTGGATCACTGTTTCCTTTTAGTGGGGGCACCTGTAGGCTTCTTTTAATCTCGCCACGCCCACTACTATTTGATCCCACTGTCACCTGCTACCTTAGGATTAACGCGTATAAAAAATGAAACGTGTAATCGAAATGATACCCTGAGAACTTTATAGAGCAGAAGAAAGATGCAGTTTGTGATGTGATACGCAGGCGGATACACAAGAAAAACAAATATGGAAATAGGTAGAAAAAATTGACGTAATTAATCATTCAGAGGTCGAAATTTTTTTCAAAAAATAAAAAACTAATTGCTACAAAGTAGATTGCTTAAAAGTATAGCAGAAAGAATTAAATGATCCATAAAAACAAAGGTTTCTTAATAACGGAAAGTGATGAAAAAGAAGAAATGCTTATGTATGAGCATTTTCTAGGGTGATGATAAGACAACCCCAAAACTCAATCTCTGATATTGATTTTTGTCCTCAAAATATAAAATTTTTTTTCCCCACTGAAATGAAAATGCTAGACTTTTTTAAAAAGCCTAGTCTCATCACAGCAGTTCGTTTTAAAATCATTTGGCCAGTCAATCTCTGTGTGATTAATCAATGTTAACGTCTTCTTAGATATCGTCGCCGTCTGCGTCGTGGGATTGCTGAGTTTCAAATCCACTTTAATTACGACTGGTTTCGACTCCATAGGCTCGCGACGCCTCAGCTTTAGCTCCGGATCAGCCTCCACAAATGACAGCGTTGCCCAGATCTCGCGACTCGGTGCAGGGTAGCCCTCCCTAAGCGATAGCAATGCGAGCTCCAGACGGGAGGAGGGTGATAGTGTGAAAATCTCACGCTGGGCGTATCTTTTTGCCCGCATCATTCGACGGTAGAGCCCATCGGCGTATGTCGCGTAGTGCTCTGATTTCGAGGGAACGTTCGCCTCCACAGCGGCGGTGCTGAGCTTGGAGTTTGAGCATATCATTTCCGAGCCTACCCCAGGCGGCGATGTCACAGCACGGACGCCCACCTTCCGTTGGGCGTGCTCCAACAGACAGATGTCATGTTGCCAGGGAGAAAACCCCTCATCCCACTCGGCGGCAGCGCTAATGTGGCCATAGTAGATCGTCGGACGGTAGCTCATCAACCAAACCAGTTCCCCCCGCTCAACGATATCCTCCGCGTACACGATCTCCACCACCTCCCCAAACGCCGAGGGAAAATCGTCTGGCGACGGCGAGGACGATGAAGAAGACGACGAACATGCCGTAGGGGCGACCGAATACCGTGCGGACGACATCTCCAAGTGCGAGATTGCGCTGTGCACCGCGCCCGGCCTCAAATGCCACCGCGCGAGCTCCACCACACGCCTTTCCACCCAGAGGTTGCTCATTTCATTCAGCTCCTCCGTCGCGCGGGGAGGCCGCCGCGGTGGCAACGCAGGGGGAGGAAGCCCCCCTCGCTGATCGCGGACCGCCCGCCGGAGGGCCTCAGAGCGCGGCCACGCACAGGTGAGCAGCACGCCTCCGCAGAAGACCTCGTGTGTTCGTTTGGGTGTGCAGGTGCGGGGGTTAAACCGCGACGCATCCGTTGTCTCCTCAGCGTTGACATAAAGGCGGTGGTTCGATAAAACTGGCATCGCGCCAGGGACAACGTCGACCCCCCAGCGCTCCCGAACTGTCGCGAGCTCCGCCCAGTACGGGGAACGAAAGGCGAACGGCGAGGCCTGAGTGGAGCGGCGCGCGTCCTGCAGCCGCTCGGGGATGGTGGATTCGTGGACGCGACCCGCCCCACCGGCCTCGGGATGAAGGTCCTGAAGCCGCTGAAGCCAGACGGAATCGGAGGACGCGCCCGCCCCATCGGATCTGGATGCGCACGTGAATCTTTCCAAGGAGCAAATATTGGATTCGAAAGGGCGGGTCTCCGGGTTCACATGCGGGAACTCCTCGTAGTGTATCAGCCGCGCACGAAAGGCGTTCATGCCATTGTAGATGACATTCCCGCTCTCGTCTAAGGGAATGGCGTGGCGAGAGGAAATCGCGGAATCGAAAAAACAGGCGAGTACGATATTTGACGCTTTGGTGTAGAGCTCCCCACAGCACATGACGGTGTTACTCCAAGAATGTACCGCTTTGGAATCGTGCAAATGAAATTTACGCTTTTGTTCCTTGTATGGACCTAGGCGCGGGAATGAAGTGGAGCGGGATGCAGGAGCCGGGGAGGTGCCATTGACCGTAGTACTAGACATCTCCTCCGGCGTAGCTTCATCCGATTTGTAGTTGATTTTTCGCTCCATCAAGCTGCATTCAGGTTCTGTAAAGTGAAGGCTTCGCCTGTGCTCATGGCATTGCGCGGTCATCGTCGAGCCCTGAAGGGTTCGTAATTTATTCAGGTGCATTACATTGGATACGAAGTTTTTTTCCCAACACAGTTGGAAGCTTAAGAAATTTATTTTCGAGCAAAACTTTAAATACGGATACGCCTCGCAAGGGAAGTAGTAATTCTCAGAGAGGTAGAGGCCGGGACTATACACACACTTCCAGAGCTCTGCAATCCCCTTCGGATAACGGAAATTTTGATGTGAGAGAAAGCGAGGAGGGTTTAGAGTTGAAAGGGCCGCAACGGACGCAGCTTCTGTAGCCTCCGGCGATACCCCATAAGATGGTATCTTTGATAGAGTCAACGAAGAATTTCTTAAAGCTTCCACTAGGGTGTGAGGAGTAGAGAAGAAGGGCAAGTAATTGAGCAGTTTCAGGGGGATCCAAAAGGAAGGGTTCAAGTACTGCCTAACCCGTTTGAGCGCAGGAAGCACTAGACAGGCCTCCTTGTCGTTTTCACTCCCCCCGCCCGTGACGTATGGTACAAACGTAGCATAGTAAGTCAAAGTTGCAGACACTTCTAGCTTCCAGTAAAAAAGTAGTTGAAAAGGATTCACGGGCAGCCTCCCATCCCACGCCGCTCCATCTTTCGAGCCATTAGCAAGTCCGTTCTGGAGCCTATACTGCGCACAGAACTCTTGACATCGTTGACCACGTGTTTTCCATTCAGATTCAAACAAATAGGCGTTTGCAAACTCAGGAGATACCATATGGTATCCCGTTGGAGGCTCCAAGTACAGAAAACAAGGAAGGAATTTGTGCGATCTTTCTCCTGAGATGGGATTTGCGACTGTAGATAACTCAAAAGATGTCCCCTCAAGTAAATCTGAATAATCTTTATATTTTTCTTCTAAAATCCACTGAAGAGAGGTAGGAAGAGGGCTATTTCCAAAGCCTAAAAACAGTGGGAACAAGCCTAGCTTGGCCGCACCTAAACGCAGCTGGTCCTTCACAATGCCCGATGAATCCACATTTGTGGAAGAGGAAAATTCCAAAGAATTACCCTTTTGCAAAGGTGTAACAGTTTTAGATGGGGTTGACGTACTCTTTTCGCAAAACCCCCGAAGCACAGAGAAATACCATTGCCATTCTTTGACAGCACTGTTGTTCAAATCCGTGGTGGATCTATAAGCGGTATCTGCTCCTGCTAGGTCACTTTGGCTTCCGTTTGAAGGTCTAGCCCCACTAAAGCGACGTATCTGGACAAGAAGCGCAAACGGGAAGCTAACAAAGGTGCTAGTAAAGGAAGAAATAGAAGCATCAAAGAGTTCATAATGTCGTTGAAAATGACGAAGCAACACGTAGTAACGAAGCATCCATACGCTCCTAGGAATTCCTAGGGGGACCTTGAGAAAAACGGCGCGAGCAAAACGACGATTGGCGGTAGTACGTACCCAAGGCAATAATACTTCGCCTTAGGTAAAATCCTTGAGCCAGCTATGAAAGATCTGAGGAAAAATAAAACCCAACTTAGGAAAATACAAGGTATAAAAACAAAACAAATAAAGCCCAAAGAGATTTTCAACCTTTGCGACAAGAAACAGCCTATCCATGCATATAATCATTCCATCTGGAATCGGAGCATATATCTTCCCCAGAGTGTTCCCTTTCCGATAACGCATATGCATGAAATGATGAAACGTAACAGCACCAAAAGCAACGAAATAAGCTGATACACAAAAGTTTCACGAGTATTTTAGAAAATCCCAGATCTTCGGTATATCCATAAACTTCCCATTAATCCCATGCAAAGAGCTAACGCCACTTCACCCCATGCAATACTCAAAAACAAATGGGTTACGACTACTGCTCTCAGCGTCTCTGGCCCAAGTGGTATCTTGTTAAACAAGCGAACGCATGAAGGATACGCTATACTCCGTTGTTGCTCCTCCTCATACTCCTCAGTTTGTTGGACGGGTTCCCTACCTTCCCGTTGACCAAACTCACGGGTAAAAAAAGGAGACCCATCATCCCATCGTGAATGCTCCTCAACCGTGGAAGTCAAGGATTCAGCAGATGTAGAGCGGCGCATCCAAAGCAAAGTTTCATTCCAGAAGTAGAACGCCACACACAACCAACTAGGACCCGGGCGAAGCGTCATGATTTTCTCCACGATGCCACGCCAAGTGGCGGGCAAGGCAACCACACGGTACGAAGTCACCTCCGCCAATACCATTACTAGCAACCACAACACGCGCGCGATGTAGGCCGCGACAAGCAACTTCACACAGGAACGGGTTCCTACAATCCCCTCGACCGGCATCACGAAAAAACGAAAAGCCGACACTACCATCAGAAGCTCCCCAGACGAAATAACGATAGCATTGACGATCCCCAAACGAATCGCGAAGCCAGCGATCTGCAAGAGAAAATTCGGCGCGAAAAACCATAACTGGAAGTCTGAAATCGCTCCAATTACATCACTCATCTCCGTAGTCCAAAGTGTAAAAAAAATCGGGTGAAATGAACCAGTAGAGAAGATAAAAGCCCGATCTTGAATAGTACAAAGCCCGTAAAGGAATGAAAGGACTACTATCAATAAGAGCATAAAAGCAGTCGTCGGGTGTTTAGACAAGCGAGTTAGCAAACCTTCTCGTGGAAAAACTACATCAAAAAGCATGTTTTCCAACATTACTGCATGAGCTTCGTATGTTTAGACCTTTAATATTTTCAACTAGTTAGTGAACGTACTATATCACAAAATAGTATTCAATAATGTATTGAATACAGAAAATTAATGTAGAATAAACACAACCTTAAAAGGGGCAAATATAAAGAATGATAAGCCTGAGGATCAGAAAGACAAAAATAAAATATATTAATTAATATCGATAATAAGCAAAAAACAGCAAAATTAAAAGGCAAAATGCAAATCAATAAAAAGAAAACAAATAATATGAAACATCAAGGAAAATAACGGCCACTTAATCCTAGTTCACGACTAGAAATCATATATTAGTGAGTCTAGCGCATACGCACTTTCCAATCAACAGAAGGGCATGAGGCATGGCAACTGGCACTATAGAATTTAACAGGACATCCCAAAGACTATACGAACAGATACATATTAAACTCGACATTTTTATGTTTTTGAGTTGATTATTTATATCGATATCATAGATTTTGACGTATATTTCTTCTTCTATTTATTTCTGTTTCGGTTTACTGGACTTTCAAGGCCTAAGTCATCAATGGCGCATCAGAACGTTTTAAAAGTATATCTTTTTCAGATGTCTAGTTACCTTGTACATAACTAGCGAAAATCCGTTTCGCATAATTGCCTGGATAGAAGGATTCAAAAAATTAATCTTTGTTTATGAGTTTGCCCTGTATTGTAAGTTGTGACTCTTGTCTTTCTTTTTTTTGCTTTCCTATTCTTTACTTTTTTTTTCTCGGGAAAGGAGTCAAAGATTGATTTTCTGGTTACCTCTTGCTTTTTCTCTTTTCTCAAGTTATTATCTCCCTTCTCCTTTATTTAGACTAAAATTATTCAAGTGATATATATGATAAGAATGTGGAAAAAAATTGTGAATGTAGTAGATGAAGATATCAGCAGCACGTAAAAATAGTAGTTGGGTGTTGATGTAGTACTTAGCATTGGGATTTTTATAAAACATATAAAGTACATCCGAATTTACACATCCACAAAAAAAGTGAAGGAAACAAAAATAGATAAATAAATAAATAAATAAAACCGTCAATATGGTTTACCTCGAATAAGAAAATCAATAAAAAATCACACCTAACTCTAATAGTCATATACCGTTGCCTTTCCGTCATCCCCGCCTGCTACCATTAACGTCGGACTTGCGAATATCACGCGAACTGCGGCGGTGTTGGCGCCGAGTCCGTAGCAGCAGTCACCTGTAAGCGCATCGTGCACGAGAAGCCAACCGTTCCCCGCCCCTGACAGCACCATAGAGCCGAAGACCTCTAGGGAATAGATGAAGTTCGTGTGGTTGCGGAGCTCGTGGACGGGGGTGAAGCCCTGGCGGGCGTCGAGGACGAGAACCCGCTTATCCGCACCACAGGTCGCGACGTAAGGCGTCCCTGGCATCGGCCGGATCCCACTGAGGACGCCACCGGGGTGGAGCACCGCGGCGTGCGCAGGCCGCTCCCCTTGCCGCGTATCTAACACTGTCAGCTCCCCACCCTGATCGCCGATCAGCGCAAGCAACCGTCCTTCCCCCCCTCCTTCTGTCGTCGTCGTTTCCTCGACGAGATAGGCAAGGGAGCCGATCTGCCCGCGTGGCATCGCGACGGTCGCGCGGCAGGTGGCGGTGGGGAGGTCCCATATCTTGACGACCCCGCCGCGGTCGCCGGAGAGGACGGACGTGCCGCACCAGTCGAAGAGCAGCACCGCCGCTGTGTGCCCGGCGAGGCGGCCGAGCTCCCCCCCGTCGTTACAATCCCACACCCTCAGGGTGCGGTCGTAGCTCGCGCTGAGCGCCCGTCCCGCCGCGTTGACGTCGACCTGGCTGATGCTACCGGTGTGGCCGAGGAGGTCGCGGCAGCGCGCGCCCCCCCCTTCCCCCCCCGCCACGCACGTCCTCCCAAAGGCAAAGCTTGCCGTCCATCCCGCCGGAGAGGACGCGGCCGTCGCCCGCCCCAGGGACGAAGCGGCACGTCGTCACCCACTCGGTGTGGCCGCCGCGCGCCCCGTACAGCCGCCGCCGCGGCGCGCCCGAGCGGAGATCGAAGACGGCCAGGCCGTGGTCCGCGGAGCCAAAGACGGCGAGCGGCGCCCCCTCCG